CTCTTTCAAAGTCATCATCAGTGTAGTTTTCAACCTGTTTGTCAATTACAGTGCAATCTTCTAGAGTTGATGTAATCCGAATCGGACCTCTTAAAATACTTCTCCAAATTTTGAAATCTTTCAACTTGATATACCTTTCAATTCGATATTTCCATTCAGGAAATCCTTCTGCTGACAACAATCGGGGAATTCGAGTAGTTGCTCGCACAATTTCATCCAAATATTGATGAGCAATCATGCTTTAAGATTCTATTTTGACAAACTTAAACGATTTTTACCACACACATAAAGTATAACCGCACACAAAATTACCCTTAACCGCACACACAATTTTATACTTAACTGCAACTCCAAACGCACATTAAGCAGCACACTCAACAGCACTCGAATTCAATTCAGTAAGTGTAACCATACACACTTAACAACCCACAGAACTTAACAGCAAACCCAACCGCACACACTTAACAGCACACTCAACAGTACACACCTTAACAACACACTCAACCTTCAACACCTTAACAACACACCTTCAAACGATTCAACCGCACACGCACACCTTCAACAGTTAACCGCATACACTAAAAATGTCACCCGCACACAAATTTTCTCAGATTTTTGATGAAACTTGATTTCAAACTATTGAAAACAATAATCAAACAACAGTTCTTTGATCAAATCAGATAAATGCACTTCAAAAACAGTGAAATTTTGCAACCTCACACTCTAAAATACTTCAATTGATACCAAATTGGCTCTGATACCAATTGTTAGTCCCCAAATATGGATCCAATTCAATAATCAATGAAGCAAATAATAATCAAAATGAAGTGTAGAAGGAGTAGAAAAGAGATAACATCAAGCATGCACACATCTGTATCATAAATGTCAAATATACCTTGAGAAATACACACACTGCACTGCTCAGCAACAAGTACAATCTGTCACAAACCAGCCCCTATAAATAGTACCATCACCAGCACATGAGTGTGCAGCCATACACGCGTGTGCGGCCGCACACACGAGTGAGGCTGCACACATACACCAATTCTACCCACTACACTGCATTACATACACTTCCACCCTAATTAGATCTATACAAAATTAATGCCTAGATCAAACCACAATATTATAGACTATCAAACCTGGCCTTTGTTGCTCCTATTGATGACGCATCAGATCTCGAGTTTGCTTCCAGAGAAACACAAAGGCACATCATCTCTGAAACTCTTTACAAGACTCAACCCCTTGATGGTCTGCATTTTGATCCAAATGAAGAGCCTTCAGATGATGTGATGTTTGATGATGAAAGAGCTTTAATTGCTACACCTCCTCGATTCACCTCATTCTTGTTTTCATCAAATCCATCCTCGTCAAGATCAGATCTTGACTTCAGATTCTCCTCATCCTCTTTCGAACTAGTGGATGAAGAATTCAATATTAAGGACCAAGCTCATCAAATGGATCCCATAACTGAAACAAAGTCCACTCCTAAAAAAGTCACTAATAATGCAGCTCAACCTGACCCTTTCGAACAGCCAACCAAGCTTGATGATGACAAACACAAGCCCTGGACTTCCAATTCGGACACAGGATCATCCGATGGCTAATACGTTGATCCTTTTGCCCTCTTAGAACTCCAAGATAATGTCACTGACACAATGAAGAAAGTTGATGCTATAGAAACTTCAGTAGTTGGACTGAACTCAAAGATTGATGTAAAGGTTTCCAGATTGGATTCTAAGCTTGATGCAATCCTCCACTCCCTGTCCAAAGCAAACAAGTCCGGAACCACTGCTGCTGAAAGAGAAGCTCAACTTGATCAACTCATTTCTCTCAGTCTCAAGCATACTATCGAGGAGGTAGAATAGAAGTATGATGCCTCTCTCAATCACTATCGGCACCATCACCAAAATGCAATGTACATGATGATTTAATTGGTGCCACCAATGAACTCATCAAAGAAACTCACGTACGCCATGAGAAACAGATTCAACGGTTAGAGAAGGAGATCCGGAAGAAAGACGAGATGAACCTGATTAAGCAACAAGTCCTTATTGAGCTTCTCATAGCACCTTGGAACATCATCGATATTCTGAACCATAAGTTTGACGAAATGCTCTCCGTCCTAGGCCATCTCTTCGATCACCTCAAAACTCAGGCTCCAACAGTTGATGCCTATGTTGCTTTGATTTTGAAAATAAACACATGATTTTAGAAGGTGTTCAGATGCTTCTCAAAACTCAAATATTCTTCATTGCTTGCACCAGTTGCAGATTCCTACATTGTAAGAGGGGGAGAAGGACCCAACTGGATAAATCGACCTTAGATGCCCGTCTCGGAATTCCAACTCCGAGATGAAGACTTTGATGATTCTCTTCAAGTTCTTTCAGGTTCTCCACATGATGATGATGATGATGATGATGATGATGATGATGATGATGATGATGAACACAAGTACTTTGTAATGCCATCATAGGGCTCCCAGCTCCAATAAAGTTTCTAGTCAAATTTCTCTCAGAGGAAGAGCAAAGGATTTGGTCAGCAGTATCTTGGCCATCAAATATGGCTGATGTACTTCAAAAGAGTTGAGAAATGGAAAAGGCTAAAACCTAACTACAAGTTGATGCCTTCCAAGCCACCACATCAATGTTGCCTCCAATTCCTTTACTAAATGTTGCTCCAATCAATGAAGGCTCTCCACTCTGGAAGCCGAATGATATTCCAGAAGAGCCCCTTCCTTCCTCTTCTCCAAAATTTGTCATAGACGAAAACATGCAACAGATCCCATCCTCACTCATTAAACAAAAAGGCAAAAGAAAAAGCCCATCTAGGAAGTCCGTCACTTCGAACCTCCTTCAAAATAAAATTTTGGTTAGTCCCAAGAAGAAATTAACCAAACTCTTGCGGAAACCATCCAGATTCAAGCCCTGAAAGACAATCCTAATCCGATGATAGGGCTCTCTACTCTGTCTTGAAGGGATCATCCATGGTCTGGATATAATACCGTTCATGTACTATGATCTTCCCAATAATTAATTAAACCAGATTGATCTTCCTCTCTCTCTTTACAACAAGTTCTATAGTTCGTTCCTCTCCACCCGGAAGATGATCCATAAATGATCATTAGAACAGAACGTGAAAGATTGAAGACCTTTTACTCCAAGAACGCATTTCCTCAAAAAGAAGTGTGGTCTCTGAAAAAGATCACTAAGATTTCCAGGTTTGGAAGAAAAATATTGTGAAAATTGAGCTGAACTGGGTGTTATTCTGATACCACATCTTCTGGAACAAACCAACACAAAAGACCATCACTGACACTGACTTCCCTACACTCAATCCAAACGACATCCTGACCCTTGCAACACACTTCAAAACGCTCAAAACTGATGATCTCAGTATGGGAACATACCATAATGCCCTGAGCTTTCTCAAAGACTACATTTCATAGTTTTGTCATTGTGATTTTTAGCTGGCCCATCTGTTCAACACGGAGAAATATTTGGCCAAGATTGACTTTAAGCTGCCAAAAGTTGAGATACTGGCAGAGGGACCAAGTAACGAACCAGTGTTAGGGTTCATATAACTTCAAAGAAAAACCAATAAGAAGGACTTCTTTCGAGTCCTTTATAAGCATTTGGTTCCCACCAAGGCGCTTCGGAAGTTCATCAGTCGTGAATCCAACTCCAAGGCACCAGAACATGTTAAAGCCAAGTTCATAAGTCAGTTGTAGTGCTACATCGAAGTCAGATATTGCTTGTATCGAGCATATGTCTTCATCAAAGAAGAATCAAACTAGAAGACTTGATTGCTAAGTTCACTTAGGGGAGATTGTTAGTACCTGAAAGTGAACCTGTAGCAATCACTTAATAAGAAGTTCCGAACTCATTCTCTGGTATGAGATGATGTGGTAGTCCGGAATGTTTAGTAGTCTGAAATGGAGATGATGTATGAAATGATGATTAAGTATGAATTGAAGTTGGGAGGTGCAAAGTGCAAAGCTATTCAGAGATTGTGTATCCATCTTTATTAATTATTCTTGTAATTTTTTTTATGTAACTTTACATAGGGCTAAGTCTTTTGTGACAAAGTAGATAATCAGAGTTTTAGGAGTTATACTTTTATCCAATCATTCGTATTCATCTCGGTATGTACGATGTAACTCCTTTTCCTATATAAGAAGTGTTTAATGACAAGAAAATATGACGAATTGTTGCTCCAAAGATAGTTATTTTCACATTTACTTCACTTTCACCTTTCACTTAAATTTAACTCTTTCAAACATTCCTTGTGTTCATTTATCATCTTTACTTTGATTATACTCATATATCCATATTTAATACTTGAAGTACTTATTGGTTCACATCTTCAGTCTTGACTGGTCTTGCCAGAATTGACTGGAACACTTAATCAGAAGCATACATTGATCTTAAGCATTAAGGCAAGGTTTGATTTTTCAAGACTTGTCACTGTGCAATCAGATCCTTGTTCTCACACTCTTTGCTGATGGTTATATTTCATACTGGAATGTATTACACGCATCGTAACACTCTTTCCCTTTTTCTTCTAATAAAAGTGATTAATGAGTCAGGGTATGAAACCACACGCTGATGAGATCTCGCAATACTATGTCAATGAAAGTTATTTTAAGCCCACACTATCAGGAGACATAAAAAAACTAAATAGGTGATCATCGTCAATTCACTCACTGATCGTTTATGCTAGTGTTCATTGCCACTGATCACATGACCCACTGATGTAACTTCCTTATCTAAATGGTAACTTTTTGAATGATGTCTAAAAGATCCATCATTATCTTGGGATACAAGATTTTTACGCCACACATCTCTTCAATCATAATTACATAAAAGGGAAGAAACTTTTTTGTATAAGTTAGGAATTCTATGTCCTAGGTCACTTATACAAGCTATTCGAGAAATTCTCTCTCTCTCTCTCTCTCTCTCTCAAAAGACTTAACCATCATCTTTCTCAAGTATTTCGCCATGTCAAAGCCTCTGTATGAGTTTCCCCCCAACGCTAATGTCGTTAAAGGTCCTCATGCCCATAACTCTCTCATCATTCAAGCGACCAATGTGGCGTTCTCTGATGAAGTCCCAAGGCAGTTCGCAAACTTAGGAATCGAAGACTTTGCCAACCCTTTCAAGAGATGTCCTCTTCGGTATACCTTCTATGATTTCCCATACCCATTCTACCCTAAAAAAGTATGCATGTTCTACTATTCATGCGTTGTTGATTCTCATGCTCGAACCATTACTAGAACCATTGGATATGGTTAATATTGTGTTACTATTGATGTGGAATCCATTCAAATAGCTCTTCAACTTCCTCGGTTTGAAAATTACTTTGAAACTACCTCGAAAGAAAGTTACAAGTCTGTTTGTGAAAATTAGGGTATAATTATAAACTTAAGGTCATCACTTGTGATTCATACAAGAATACTCTTCATCATTGTTTTAATGTAGGATGGAAGTATTTAACAGTAGTCATTGGCAAATGTATTGGACACAAGACTGGGAGTTTGGATCAACTGAATCTCTTTGAACAAAGGATCTTATTTTTTATCATGTACAACAAAAGACTAGATTTTGCTCAACTTTTTATTGATCAAGTGATTAGCTACATCATTGGGAACAAGAAGCCAGTGAATGTTCCTTATCCATGTTGGCTTATATTGATCTTATCTCATAAGGAAGGCTATGTTGAAATTCATGGGATTATAATTCCAATTCCTACCCTTTCTTTAAAGATTACAAATGCTACTCCATATGAAGGTGAGTTTCCTATTACTATGAGGATGCAAAAATGGATTGAAAAACCTTATGTGGTTGAATCTTTTGACTCTGAAGAGGATAATGGAGATGATAGAAAAAAAGACACTGATGAAGATGCTGCTAAAGAGAATGATGAGTATGATTATGAAGTAAGTGTTGGAAATAAAGAAGGTGATGATGAAAAAAACTCTGATAAAGATGATGAAGCATCAACCACTGATAAGGGAGAAGACTATGCTTAGGGAATGAACTCTCCTCCAAGGATGGAAAAGCACATTCTATTTTCATCCACTTCTTCATTCACTCCCTCTGTAGATGTTGATGTAAAACATGGATTAACCCTACCTTTTGTGGAAACAACTGAGCCATTGATCTAAGATGTAACTTCTCCAAAACCACCATATCCTCCTCCTAAAGCTGAGACTATTCCTCCTATGCCAACTCCTACCAAGACTACTACTTCTCATCAGGATGATTAGGAAGAATCCATCTCCAATTTTCAAACCATTATGCTTTCTCAACTCTCTCTAATTATGCAATTTACTCAATCACTAGGTAAAAGTTTAACTAAAGTAGAGAAAGATGTTGTTGAGATGAAACGAATTATGGCATTAAGTGATGATGATGATGATGATATGATTTTTTATGACACCCCACCAAACTTCTCCACCTCCACCTCCATCAACAAATCTTCCTCCACCACCTCCTCCGTTATCTCATCTTCCACCTCACACTCCTTCATCATCTTCTAGTTCTCCTCCCCAATCTGATGCTACCAAAAATGGGGAGAATAATCATGGGTTTCCTAATCAGCAAATGCAAATTGTGGTAATTGCACCAACTCCATCTCAGTCCGAGATACCTGAAACTGGAACGGTTGAAACTAACCTTTAAAATGAAATTGTTGTTGTTACTGACATTTAAGATGCTGATACAACAACTGAGCGGCCCATTCCAGACATTGATGATCAATTAGAGACCAAAGACTATGATGGGTTTCTTGATCTTGGATTTATGCCACCAGCTGTTATTCCTACTATCCCTTTAAATGTTATCTACCCTGATATTACTTTAAGGGGGAGAATTCTCAAGGAACTAATAGTAACATTGATTCTGGTAATGATTAACTTAATCCTTGAAAGAGGAAGGCTTCCATCTCAAGGGGAGCTCATTACATTGAAGCTGGAAGTTCTACTGTTGATGATCCTTCAACACCCCTCCTTCCTAGAAAAGGAAGCTTATTTTTTATCTGAATGAATTGGCTAAAATATAGAGCTTAACTGTTGATGAACTAAGAGAAATCATGATGGAGAATAATGATGATATTTGAAAAAAGAAAGAAGCTAGAAAAGGAGAACATTTGTCTGCCTACTTAAGCTCTTGAATAACAATGTGGAGAAACAACACATGGTTTCAGACCTAAATGACCAGATTAACATGAAGAGGTTTGGTGACGTTCTGAATCAAAGAACAAACACTGATCCTATCATCAAAGTGAGATGCGCCAAACCCAAGAACGAGTCACTAAAGCTTCACTTGACGAGGAAGAAGACTGAATATGAGTATAATTAGGTTGTATTTACTCATGAGCTAGTCAATTTTGGCTACAACGAGTGGATGAAAATTAAAGTAATTATTGATAAACACAAGGGTATTCATGCTTAGGAAGTGAAGTTGACAATTTAGATGCTACTCAACAAAGTCAAGAAGCTGAACCTTGTGCCATCAGCTGGTCCATCAAGACCATTATCCTCAGGAAGAACATGTGCTCTCAGATAGTCCAAGAATAACAACTTTCTTCTTCCTTATGGAACTCGGTACATCAACAATGAATTACCAACAAGTGTTGAAATTTTTTAGTACATGTTCATTTGAGACCCAAAGCATGGGATTTTCTATCTTTACAGTCAAAATCACATGTGCTTTCAATTCACTGACGATCTTCCTTCTGCTCACACTAAACATTTTTTTCATCTTTTCTTGGAATAACTCAGTCATTTTGAAATGGAAAGATGATATTGTGTGCTGATATCTATGGAGCTTAGTAAAAGATTGGAAGAGCTTCAAATTGATGAATTTAGATGGGTCAAGCCTGTGATCTTGAAAGAACCTGACAAGTTTTACAATGGTTCTTCTGATGACTCTGAAGAAGATTAGTTTTGATATCATCAGATGGGGGGAGATTTTAAGGTCACGCTTTATGATCTGATGAGTCAAAGATTCTACACACTATCGATCAACGTCAGTGTCTACATGCCGACAACATCAGAGTATCACGACTACCACCATAATCTTAGTATAGTTATTCTATGTAATCTTTTGTATACTATGTAATGATACATGCACATACGCACACACACACACACACACACATATATATATATATATATACACACACACACACATACATAATAGATAGTAGATCTTATATCCTTATGAAAAGGATCGGTTATTATTATAAATAAGATATAATCCCATTAATCAACGGATATACTTGTATAGATTATTATATAATCTACATTATGGTAAACCCTAATGTAGAGAGCTTGTCTTGGTGATCATCTTTGTGACATAACGTATTCTTGGTGAAGACAAATCCTTTCGTGGTGACAGAAAATTTGGAGAAATCTTTGTGTTATTTACTTGTTGTTCTTTGTTTTCTTAAATTAGTTTAATTTTGTTAATTGTACTTGAAGTGTATCTGATCGATACAAACCATCACATTCCTTGACTAGCTAATCCTAAAAAACACACACATTCCAAAATTATATGAATACACACCAACATATCAATGAACTCAACATCCATAAGCACCTTCCACTAAATCCACTACAAGTCCTCGAAGACTTTATCAGATGTCGAGGAATAAAATCTCGTCTATCGAAATAAGTACCCAATCCATCCAACGACGTACTTCACTAGTGTGATTCCTATATGAGCCTGCAACTGGCTATCTTCGAAGGTATTAACTTGACAACTACCAATATTACACGCATGATCAAACCAATTCCTCAATGCCTTGAAACCATGAATAACCAATACATATCCTGCATTCAAACTCAACATGCCCACTTTGCGGATTCCTTGAATTCTTGCCGATACCACCAAAGATCGGACCAACTGCTGGTCTCCCAAGCGGAATACTCAATCTTTCTCTAAACACGACTCACGGTATGCAATATGGCATATAAAGATTCTCAAGACAAAACGTCTAGACCATCATGAAGGAAACTCTAATTTCTAGGTGGAGACTTAGATAAACCACAAATAGCATCGCACATACAAACAAAAAATCATAAACAAAAATAATAATAACTTGAAGGAAGTGAATACAACACATAACTATGACATCAACTAATGGAAATCGGACCCCTCTCGTCCTGCCCTCGTAACCATTAGTAATCCTCAGAGTGGTTGGAGCAGGTGCCCTCACCACTCCACCAATAAACTCCGCATAGTCGGCCTTCTTGTGGCCCACTTGGTTTCAGTGAAAACATAATTGGCTTGTTCCCTGGGGATAATCTCAGATGATATGACCAACCCTGCCATGATTTTAATAACCCATACCCCTAGATCGAGAAACCCTATCATGCAGCATCCCGCTACACTGATCTGAACCTGCTGGCCCCTCACCCGTTGATTAGAAGTCTTTGGTCTCTTCGTAAAACCCCCAACTGTCTGCACCTGCTCTGGCTTTCTCTTCCTCAGGTGATCCAAATCAATCTCCCGCTCTCGAGCTCTAACAATCATGTCCTCCAAAGTCCGACAAGCTAAAAATCTCACAAACTCCCTGATATCGTCTCACAACATATCATGGTACCTTTTCTTCTTCATCTATGCACCTGTAGAATGATGTGGAACCAAAAGAGCCCTCTCCTTAAACTTGGCGGTGATCTTCCCATAGTCTCAGTCGTCTAGCAAAGGTGTTGAAACTCCATCGCGAACTGTTGTACCTCAATAGCTGGTACAAACTCCACCCTAAACCGGACCATATACTCATCCCAAGTCATCATCACAATGGCTTTGCCTCCCAAAGAGAAATCTACCTCCTCCTACCAATCTAAATTTTTATCTTTCACAAGACAGGAAGAAAATCTGACCTTTGACCTCTGGGGGCAGAAACTCATCCGGAAAGCATTTACCATATCTACTAATCACCTCTTACGAGTAATGGAGTCCTTCTCCCCAAATAACTCGGGAGCTCCAAAAGCATGGAACTTGCAGAAAGAAAGAGTGAGAGCTCCCACAATAGTCATAATCTCAATGCGGAACATGCCAAAATGCTCATCAAAAATCTCCATAATCCTCTCATTGACTATTCCGATGATCACATGAGTTTGCTCCAAAATATCGTGGGTGATATCCAGTGAGATGAACTCCCGCATCTGCTCATCAATCAGCTTAGTACCTGCACTTGGGCCTGAACCAGAACATAAACCTCCTTCATGCATGCTCATCACCATTCTGAAAAGTGATTATACAAATGATGAGAACATACCCAAGAATCCTCAACCCATAGGATTCATAAATTCTCCATGACTCTCCTCAACTAGAGCATGGATCATGTGTTTTCAGTAGTATGACCCAATACTAACTTCCACACCTATGCATACATTCCTCAAGAATTTTCTCGAATCCTGCAGGCCACCTTCTCAAACTGGTACTTCAAGTACTCGCTAAACAACACAATTAACCCACTAAAACACTTCCTAGTCTATGTTAGGTTCCTCACCATGTCATAAGATGCTGACAAACTCCTGTCAATGTCATCCAACAATATCATAAATACAATCACATACCAAAAAGATTAGATAATCCTTCAACTAAAAGACTTACCCCTACAACGATTGGATTTAGACAAGAGTTGAACAATAGGGTCAAATCAACCACTCTGAGATTATTTAACCTTGGTAGCATGTGACTGATCATATTCACTTAATAGTTAACTCACATCACTAAAGGTCCTACAACACACAAAGCAAGCAACATTCGTGCAGTAACACTTCAGGTATAACATCCTGATTTTCAAGTATTTACCTTTTAACCACCTTAGTATGAGAATTGACTGTATTTTGGACCTTAGTGGCATTTTTGTAAAATCAGGCCAAGGCTAGGTACACTAGGCGTACGTTATGTATGTTGGGCATACATGTGCGAGCCTTAGTACGTTGTACATACACCGTGTATGCAGGTCGTACATGAAGGACCCTCAAACCCTCATTTCTTATCCCCTCTTTAACCTCCACTTGCTATTTTGTCTATCTAGAACCCTAATCCACCTCGAGAGTGTTCTTGAGCTTTTATGGGTACTTTTAGTGATTAAGAACGAAGGAGAAGAAGGGAGGACCACCTTAGAAGAATAAGGCACCTTAGATCCAGAATCTCATCACCATTTGGCAAGGTAAAAAGCTCATATCTTGATAATGATTTGTTTTAGATGTTGTTAGCCTTGAAGTTTTGAACATTTTGGTCCCATTAGTTTGCAATTTTGAGTATGGGATACTTTAAGTCATTTGAGCCGTCCTTTTGGATATTTCAGAGTGTTGTTGTGCATAAAAATATGATATTAAGTGTTTTATGTAACCCATTCATGTGCTAGATGGTCTTATTGGGTTAAGAACTTAGGGTTTTGGACATTAAGTTCTTTATAGCCATGCAAAGTCATAAAGTTGGAAACCTTATGACTTAGGAAATCATTTTGTGCTTGGATCCGAGTTTTGGATGGAAGGGCTTAATAGAATAAGTTCTTAATGGAGTTTTTGGACTAGGCAACGTATATTGGGCGTACCAGGAGTTACGTTGTGTGTATGCGGTCAGCGCCCCGCTTTTTGGTCAACATCATAGTACGTTGAGCAACTTTCTTGGTACGTAGGGTGTACTCCACTGGGAAAGGATATTGACTTTTGGGACCTTGACCATTGAATATAACTTGGAATATGGTTGACCAAGTTTGACTTAAGGGTATTTACGGTATTTTAAGCTATAGTTAAGCCTTGGTCTCTTTCTGTTGAATAGGTGACCTGTAGAGCTGGCTGTCGGAGCAGAGATTCATTCAGATTGTTTTCAGGATGAGAGGTGAATTTTCCTCACTATACCTATGGGTCGAAGGCACCAAAGCTGGCTCATTGGATTGATATCCTGGTTTACTGTATGTTGTTATGTTGTAGTGATCTGTTGGATCCTTTTCTTAGTATATAGGATGTTGCTATGTTGTAGTGATATGCTAGATCTATATCATGGTATATAGGATGTTGTTATGTGTTAGTGATCTGTTAGATCTGTATCCTGGTATATAGGATGTTGTTATGTTGTAGTGATCTTTTAGATTTGTATGACTACCTTTATCTGCTAGCTATTGACTGTTATGGTGTATGTTGATATGTGATGGTTTACTAGGTTGAGGTGGACTGGTTGGGACTGAAGGCCAAGACACCCAGGACGGTCTGGATAGACTAATGGCATGTGAGGTGGACTAGTCAGACTGAAGGCCTGGATACCAGTCCAGATATGTTGAACGCCCAATGAGGCGGTCCAGTCATGCTGAAGGCTCTAAGAGTGGTCTGGATAGTTTGTAGTCCCGGTGAGGAGGTCTAGTCATGCTGAAGAATCCTTTATGTATGATGTTGTTATTATGTCATGTGGTGGTAGTTTGGGGGAAACTTACTAGGCTTCGTGCTTACGGTTTCAGTTTATTGTTTCAGGTACATCACAGGATTGTGGGAAAGTGAAGGCGTGATTGTGCACATCTTCCTGTTTTTATGATATTAGATCTTAGGATACTCGGTTTTTGAATAATACTTTTGAAATGTTGGTTTTGTAAATAATTAATGGAAGAAATTGGTTGTTTTTTAAAAGTTAAAGTTTATTGAGATATTTTGACGTTACAAGTTGGTATCTTAGCCGTGGTTTGAACGAATTGGATGAACATTCGTGTGAATCCAAACTCAAACTAAGGATCTGTGAAAGTTTTCAAATTATTTCTAAACTTAATTCAAATTAATTTCAAAATTAACTAATAAAGGATGATATGTTTACGATTAGCTGGAGCAAGAAAGTTTACCCCAAGTTACCACACTGTGACTTGTTTATGATGATTATGATAGAACTGCATGCTAGTGATAGGCTAGGGATCTTCAAGAATTGCATGATAGAATTGCTTGATTTGTGATGTTTGATAGCCTCGGAGAACTTCTTATACTAGATGAAATTGACATCATTACTGTATTCGCTTAGTGTGTTCATCATAGTTATACATAACAAAGATTCTATAGCCTGAGAATGTTTGATTTAGCTTTATTTCATGTTCTTGCCTGATTAAGGACACTTACAAGGGTCCAGAAACAATGAAAGGTGATGATGATGACGATTCCTTGCAAGCCTCTACAAAAGATCACCTTCTTCTTCTTCTTTTCTTCTTCTTCAAAACAAGAAAGGCTCCAAAATGACCAAAGATCAAACAAGGGGTGAAGGATAGGGTTTGTTTGAGGTGAAAATGGGTTTAAAGGCTAATGATGAACACTAAAATGGGTTTAGAGGTGCTTAAATACGAAGGAAACCCTAAAATATCATGGGCTTGGGATGCATCATATCTCATGTCGTGAGCCTCTATGTGTCACGTCGTGAGACCAGTCCCGAACAAAAGTTTTCATATTAACCCATCTCACACCGTGAGCCTCTGTCTCACGTTGTGAGACTCCTTTTCTTCCAACATCCAACCTTTTGACTCCTTGAAACCCTATTCGATTCATCTAGGAAAACAGGCGTTACATGGAAGGTTTGATTATATTGGTTTTAGGAGATTTGATTTGCTAACTCTAATACCATAATAGTTAACATATTTCCTTGAATGGGAACGTATAGGATATGACGATATATACACTAAATATAATCCATGGGCTAACATAATGAGTTGGGATGGACTTATAGACTATCTATTTTTTCCCTCGCTGAGTTGAACTCGGGAATAGGGTGTTAGGATAAAATAAATAATCTAGACCTTAGACGTAGCAGTGGTTGCAAGTGTTTTCCCTTTACCCGAGGCTTTTTCCTATCTGAGTATGTTTCCTTTAATGAAACTAGGGAACATCAATTTATTTTATTTTCTTATTATTTCCATAAATTTCCTTTTTATCTTTGTTAAATTGAACTCGAGAAGATGTGTTAACATAAAACAAATGTTCTGGACTTTAGATGTGGCAATGGTTGGTAGTGTTTTCCCTCTACCTGAGGCTTTTTCCTATCTCAATAGGCTCTTTTCTTATACACAAGCTCTTTGCTTATCGGGTTAGTTGTGTCATCCTAACGAACAACTCAATACATGATTAATTACCTATCACATAATAAACTTGAAATTGTTCGAGCCAACTAGAGTTATCCGATTTCAGTTTTGTAGGGTTTGGAATAAAATACTTTTTCGGTAACTTAAAATCTCCCTTCCCTATCACAAAGAATCCAACGGTTTAGATAGCATCCACATAAGAATACCCACGGTAAAAGCTCCCTGGCAGACACAGGATAATGTCCATAGCCTAGTCGCCATCTACAATCAGAGATCTATTAATATTTTGACATTTTCCTTTTCTTGATCTTGACAGCCTGCGTATTATAACATCTTCATGATCTTTTTTGGGTCTCTTTCCTCGATTATCGATCGACAAAATCCAGAGAAGTGCACACCAACTGTTTGTCTTTTTTGCTTCACTCGCCAGACTTCGATTTGACGTTTCATCTTGTTTGTTTTTTATGATAAAAATGACTAGTATGTGTACTTCTTTACCTTAATTTCCCCGTACTTCTGCTCAGCAGTTTCAGGAAACCAACTTATATATTGTCACCTGATGCAGTGTCTGCTGACGACATCTTCCGTGTTCTCGAGGCTGATCTGGAGTTTGTTTCCGCTCATGAACTCAAGGCCATGACATCTCTAGGTGGAGGAGTGTACGGTTTAAATCCACCGATGACTTGTAAGTCGAGTTCTTTTGATGCTTTACAAGAGGTTATGGAGGTGCCAAAGACCAAGAAACTGAAACTGTCTGCTATGGAGGACGCCGGTGGTTACTCAGATGGGCAGCAGAAGGTATCGCATATCACGGTGGAGAGGAACCGAAGGAAACAGATGAACGAAAACTTGTCTGTTCTCCGTTCACTTATGCCTTGCTTCTATGTCAAAAGGGTAATCATCAAAACCAAATCTTGTTATCTTGTCCATAAATCAATTGTACATGAAATCTCTAAATCATTTATATATAAAAGCTACTATCACCAACTGTATGAAACTTGCAGGGTGATCAAGCATCGATAATCGAAGGAGTAGTTGATTACATCACAGAATTGCAACAAATTCTACAATCCCTAGAGGCCAAAAAACAAAGAAAAGTTTACAGTGAAGTTTTGAGCCCTAGGCTTGTTTCAAGCCCCAGGGCCTTATCTCTCAGCCCCCAGAAACCGCAGCTTAGCCCTAGGCCAAGCCTGCCGATTAGCCCCAGAACCCCACAACCATACATGTACAGGCTGCCGCCACCTTCACCTTCACCTTCAACTACTTTCATAACTTCAGACAGTGCTAATGAGCTCGTTGCTGCAAATTCAAGGTCATCCATGGCTGAAGTTGAGGTCAAGTTGGTGGGTGGTAATCTTCTTCTAAAGACGTGTTCAAAGCGGGTACAAGGCCAAACGACGAAAGTAATAGCGGTTCTTGAAAAGCTACCTCTTGAAGTTCTTCAGGCTAACATTAGTATTGTTGATGAAGCCATGGTTCACACCTTTACGATCAAGGTAAGCCAAAGATTAAAAAAAAAAAAAAATTGTTTTTTTTGTTTTTTTGTTTTTTTCATATTCACATGAATTTGCATGCATGCTTTTACTTCTCTGTCACCAAAATCAAGTTTGAGCAACACTTGGTTATTAACTAAAAGTTACAGTCTGCGAAATTCTAGTTTTATGAATGAATAACAAAAACAAAAACATGAATGGACATAATTTGCTCAAATCAGTATTTCATGAATCTATATTAGCAGCTTTTTTCATAATATAAAATTTGTCTTTTGATTATGTATGTAGTTTTAATTTGGTGTACTCATTTAATGAAATCATTAATGCTATAATGCTTTTTTTTCTTTTTATTGGTCCAATGTTACTAAAATTAAAAGTAAATTTATTGAAGAGTTCAATCGGACTTCCGAGTACGCCACATATAAGATTCGAAGCCTTATTGATTTAATATGCTTTTAATCTTGGACTTAATATTATCTACAGTCTATTCATTCCAAGAAAAAACCTAATACATTCTTACTGAATTTAAAAAAAAAAAAAAAAAAAAAAAAAAAATGCAATTTTTTTTTAAGTTAATGAAAAATTATTTATCCTAATATTACCGTCAGTATTCCGTTGTTTCTATAATTTTTAATTTACACTGTTTTAAAAGTTTAAATTTGACTCTCGTTCGTGTTATAATTGTTTGATTGGTTGGTGGGCTTTTATTGTGGATAGATTGGAGTTGACTGCCAACTAAGTGCAGAAGAACTTGCTGAACACATTCAACACACATTCGGCTAATCGTTAGTCTTCTTTTGAGATCACCACTATGTGTCATGTTATATCCAATGCAATGTGCATGATATCCAAACAATTAAGAAGGCTAGAAAACAAGAAAACTCCATCACCCAATAATATAGTTAGAGCTTGTTGATTAGTTTATTAACTTCTGTATTGATCATCCCCAACTTTTGTAGTAATATTGGTGTTCGAACCTTAAGAGTTTTGACATCGGTTGCCAATTTATTGGTGTGTGTGTGCATGTGTGATCATACATGATTTATAGTAAATACGTGTATGAAAGATCTCAGGCTGGCATATATTTTGATTGTTTTCAATATAATATTATGCTATATTTACTTGAGTAATCCGTGGCTAGATAAGTATATATTGGAGAATATATTCATAAGTATTTACTTACATATCATAAGATAAACTTATTTGAATATGCTAGAGTATTAATGTATATATTTTTGATAAAATAGACACTACTAGTGAGAGAGAGCAGCCATCAACTTGGTCCGTTAGAACATACATCACAAATTCACAATATGTGTTTTTCTAGTAGAGTCAAGTAGTCATGATGCCTTACAACAACGGATTAGCATCACAATTAGTTATAACAAGCTACTAATTTGTGATGCTCGAATTTCTAGTAGTGTGATGCTAATCCGTTATTGTAGACCATTAGTGACAGAGCAACCATCTATAGAGTTAGCAAGCATTACTAACTAAAAACATTTTTTACAACAAAATTTGCAACAATGTAGCTGATGATAATGTTTCTAGCTAATAGTGATGAGACACTCCATACTTGCATCGCCTCTAACGGTTTGTCGGTACTATGTTGCAACAGTGAACTTTGCGACGATTCTTCTTCTCATTAATCTGTGGCAATACTTTTTATCGTTTTTGTGTACAACTTAATTACGAATTTTCCATCCATTCCATCACTTTTATGATTGAAAGTCTAACGAGTAGGTGCAAGACCGAGCACCGCCTGCAGTCAAGGAGTCCAAGAGATAAATACTCGTTCGAAGCAACATAAAAGTTACAGTTATTACCTAGGATGAAAAGATAACGTATGGAGTCATTATAAAATCATGTTTCGTTGATGATTCCGGGACGTAATCATCCTAAGGGGAGATAATTGTAACACCCGTAGATCCGGGCTAGTCAATTTAGAAGCAATAGGGGTCGAAAACGACTTTTCGACAACAGATTATTTAGAATGAATAATCTTAACCAAGTTTTATAATATGTCACAAGGTTTCCGTACATATAAAGAACGCCGAAATCCGAGTTATAACAAAGAAGTTATGACCGGTTGAAGTTTCGCAACGGAACCGCCACAATACCGGGAAGCGTAAATAGTGAATTTACGATAGAGTGAGATTTAGACTTAACGATCTAAACGAAAATCGTAGAGTATGTTAAACTAAGAACATCGATAAAAAGAACGCTCAAATCTGACTTCGTATGAAGAAGTTATGATTTTTCGAAGTTTCGGATTAACAGTGTACAGCCCGAGATTCGAATATTAGATCGAGTGATTTTTGGCCGACACGACCTAAACGGGAATCGAAGATCTCATTAAGAGTAGCGTAACGAGAAAAATATGGGCAAAAACATACGTCGGATGAAGAAGTTATGAGAATTTAACGGACCAATCCTGTCCCGGCCTGTTAATAATATAAAATTTAAAATCGAGTCAAAATTAGCCGACGGAGTCTAAACTAAAGTTGTAGATTACGTTCCTACCTTCACGTGGATATAAATAACGTCAAAAATGGAGGTCGTACACGAAAGTTACGAATTCTTAAAGTTTAAACTCGAATTTGTGAAGTTGTTGCTAGATGCGATAACGTGGCCAAATCTCAGCCGTCGTTTGCTGAGCACGGTCTAGCTTCGGATGAAGGACGTGTCACCCTCGCTTTACGCCCCGCGTCCGAGGAGAGTACGCCCCGCGTACCCTCGTGTCTTATCCATCCGGGGAAGGTGCGAGCCAGCTGTGCGAAGCTAGCAATCATATCCGAGACTACGCCCAGCGTAGCCTCCCTACGCCCAGCGTAATGACCGAAGTCTGGCACTATAAATAGAGGTGCGAAGTGCTCCGATTTCTCACACCATTTCTCCCATCTTTCTCTCACTAGTTTATCTCTCTAGCCTACCCTAACCCCCTAAAAGCCTAGGTAAACCCCCTAGCACCCTAAGGAAGCCCCGAGGCTCCCGGAGTCCTGAGAAAAAGGGACTTTCGGTTTCGGAAAGGCTGCTCCGAGCAAAGCCCAGTTTTCATTAAAATTCGCTATTTTATCGAAGGAAAATTGTTTTGAGAGTATCGAAGCGTTGTCCGAGTGCTGAGTCACCACCTTTCAAGTGAGTGCATAGTCCATTTAATCTTACACATAGATATGAAGTATTTTAATATAAATTACGTGCTATGTGTGCATATTGTCTGAATACTTGTTGCCTATGTTGGGTGAAAGATTTTTATACATATTTTAAATGATTTAAACTGTATATGTATTTATATCTACAAAATGTGTCGGGTAAAAAAACATGGGTAGATGAAATAGTTGTTGATAAGACGATGGAATACATCAATGTTGACAGTGATCCAATCATCTAGTAGAGTATAGATGATGACCATGGACGATACTAGACAGTTCATTGGAACGATAGCAGGCTCGTAACATGTAGGTGTTTTTGAACTAGGTGCTCATTAGGTATTTTTAAACTGAGTGTGTTCACTAGATATTTTGAACTGAGTGTGTTCACTAGGTATCTTTGAACTGAGTGTGTTCACTAGGTATTTTGAACTAAGTGTGTTCACTAGTTACTTTTGAACTAAGTGTTTACCAGATGTTTTGGACTACGTGTTCACTAGATATAATCTATAAGCCTTGGTAACGATGGACTTCGTGTCGATTCCTTAGGATGATCCTTAGGAATGAATTAACGAGGAGTAGCTGATTCTTAGGGTAGACCCTTAAAAGTAAAGATAATGGGGATGGGTAATTGGGTTGAATGTTTGATTGTTTAAACATAATAATTATATTACTGTGCGTTGAAAACCCTATGTACTCACCAGGTTTCCCAACCTAACCCACTCAGTTTATTTATATCACAGGTGTTGATATGAAATCACATTACACTGAGAGATTAAAGAGATATAGATCACTAGTGTAAATAAATGTAAGTTCTGTTTATGTTTATGTTTCTGTATTCACAATGACATCCCAAACGTATTAAAATGAATAAAATATGTTTCTTTGAAAATATTTTAATAACGTATTTATCGTGTTTTTCTAGGAACAAATTCCGCAACAATTTTATTAAAAGAAGAACTCTGATTTTTTTTATAAAGCATAAACAAAATCGATCTTTTTTGGCCGTGAAAATGGGGATGTCACAGTAGCTCCGATTACGCCAAGCATAAGGACTAGAAATGTAATAATTTTACGTTTTTAAGCTATAATTAGAATTGCATTTGGCGCCGAATGTTACACATCCATACTAGCTAGCCTTAAAGACCCAAAGGCACCGTGATGATGTCATATTATAGTGATATTAGTTATCCTATAAATATATAAAATTTATATCTCATGTAATTATGAGGTGTTTGGGAGTGTTCATTTAAAATAGTTTATAATTATTCGTAAAAGGGTTTACTAGTTTATCCAATATCAAAATAAGATTTTAAAAGAATGTTTGGATTAACATGTCTATGATTATTTTTAATAGATTTAAAAAACAGTTATTATAAAATAAAAATATACAACCAGAAATATTAATAACGTTCTTTATACTTATTAGAAAAAAAAATACAAAATCATCCAATTATAAACCTGAGCTATCCATTTATGAAGCTAAATCTTGATACATAAAAGATAGCATATAATAATTAAAGATTTAGCTTCATAAACTATCCATTTATGAAGCTAAATCTTGATACGTGGCCAGAGACACCGGCCGTGCACATCACCCCGGCCGGTCGTGGTTCGTCGTTTTTGTGATGGATTGTGGTGCCTACCACGAGATGCAACGCCCAATCAGGGCTTCTTGACCGATTTCTTCTTAGCCTTCTTGTCTTCCTTTCTTTTTTCTCTCTCTTCATTCTCACCGGAGAGTACTCCGGTTGTGGTGGGGTGGTTCGTGGTTGCTCCGGTGGCTGATCTGGAAGCTCTCCGCGACCGTTGTCGTGGAGAGTATAACGGATGGTCTAAGTGGGGATGTATTAGAATAGATCTTAGGAAGCAATATGTCTAATAACCTATACAGAGTTGTGAGAATAAAAAAAAAAATTATGAACTTTTAGATCATTGGAAAAGTCGAAGAAGAGAGAAAATAAAGATAAGTGGTGATACAATTGCATAGTATTTAAAAAATAGATAAAATGGATATATACACTAAGATTTGACAAGAAATTTCTAATTTTTTTTTACAGTCCTAACCATCCGCAGATTTTGACATGTTTATCTTTTTCATCAGTTAGCCGGCAATTATGAATTTATTGTTAAAAAAAATAAAGTTTAGGACTTTCTTGTTAAATAGTTGAAAATATTGAGACTTTAGTGTATAGTCTTGGTTTCCCTAGAAACATATATTTTTACTAGCCTCGTAAGATCCAATTCGTAGCCCAAGAACTTTTAATTGTGATTTTTGTCGCAGGACACTATTTTTCTTACCATCATCATCTTTACTATGCTACAATCACGATCAGTGGAAACAGATGCAAAAGAGAAAGCGAAAGAGGGTGAAAAGACATGTAAAACTTTCTTTTGGTTCGTCACCAAATCTTGAACTAAAAGAGGGGATAGATTGTATCTCTAGTCAAAAGGGTGTGAATGTGGAGAAGGGGTAAGAATGACCGTTTCGTCCTTTTCGGTTTCTTATTTCTCCATTTTTAGGATTGTAAAAAGCCAACACAACCCTGATTCTTTTTTTCTTTCTTTATTATATCCATTTTTTTCTCAATGCCGATTTGTTAAGATTTAAAATAAACTATTTAACAAGAAGCAATCGTTAAGGATTTTAATAGAATCTAGCTGACTAGAGCAGATTTCAATAACTTTTATGCTTAAAGACTATCATACCATTAGATTTCTAATAGAAAAAAGGATATATATATATATATATATATATATATATATATATATATATATATATAATATATATATATACTAAATTCCCAGTATTTTCAAAGATTTGAGAAGAAAGTCCTAACTCCTAAACTTTATTTTTTTGATAGTAAAATCCA